GGAGTTTCGCTCTTCAAAGTGGTTCAGTTGTTCGCGAATCCACTCCTTCCAGCGGTGAAGTTTCTGTTTTGGCCGCCGCCGCCAATTCTCAGTCACGCGGACATGGTTCTCGCCACAATCTCGTGTGCTCTCACTGCCACAACACTGGCCACAATGTGACTGAATGTTTTCAGCTCATCGGATATCCTAACAATTGGCCGGCATCTCGTGCTCCTACTAGCGGCGGATGGGTATGTGGACGTGGCCGAGGTTCAGATCGTGGCTTGCCGGTGGTTTCTGCTTCCAATTCAGATTCAGTTGGACCGATTGCTGGGTCACTCGGTTCGGTTCCAGGGGTAGTGGTTCACACCACGGTTCACCCAGCTACTGGTTCTGGTTCCATTGGTCAGTCCACGGCGGTTACCAGTTTGAACCAAGATCAATGGGTTTCTTTGCTCAATTTGTTGAATTCTACCAAATTAGGGCCCACTGAAAAGTTGTCTGGTAAGCCATTTTCTGACAGGTGCATGTATGATTCGGGTGCAACTCATCATATGACGGTCTTTATTTTTTATTTTCGCGATGTTCGTGATATTGCCGCTGTTCCGGTTCATTTGCCTAATGGTCATTGTACTCTTGCTACTGAGGCCGGTTCTGTTGTTCTTAGCAGCATTATGACTTTGCACAATATGCTTTATGTGCTCGATTTACAATGTCACTTGATCTCTGTCTCCCAATTATTGCATGATTCCTCCTATATTGCTCACTTTACTCGTGATTTGTGTATTGTACAGGATCTAAATTCGAGGACCCTGATTGGAACGGGTGAGCAATGTGAGGGGTTTTATTTCTTTCGGATTGGTGAGACTGGTACTGCTGTTGTACGTCATGGACTTTCCTCTTTTGATCTATTGCATCAACGGTTAGGACATCCGTTTCTGAAGGTTTTAGAAATGCTTCCACGTGTTGGTTCTAGAAGTAATAGTAGTCATCTTAATAAAGCCTGCGATGTTTGTTTCGGGGCCAAATAGAATCGTGATGTTTTTCCTCTTAGTAATACTCAAACTCATGAGATTTTTCAATTGATCCATTGTGATTTAAGGGGGCCTTATCAGACTCCTTCTTTTTCTGGAGTACGTTATTTTTTAACTATAGTTGATAACTACTCGCGTGCTTTGTGGATTTATTTGTTGATTGTTAAGACGGAGGTGTCTGTAACTTTGCAAAATTTTTTTGCTATGGTTGAGCGTCAATTTACAAGTTAGTCCAAATTGTTCGTAATGATAATGGAACTGAGTTTATGTGCACGGCTACTTATTTTTGTCGTCATGGCATTTTGCATGAGACATCTTGTGTCGGTACTCCTCAGCAAAATAATCAGGTAGAGCATAAGCATCAACACATTCTTAATGTTGCTCGTGCCTTGCGTTTCCAGGCACATTTACCTATTGAGTTCTGGGGGGAGTGTATCTTAGCAGCCAGATATCTGATTAATCGTACTCCCTCGAGTATTTTGAATGGCAAAACTCCCTGTGATTTTTTATATGGCAAACCACCTTCGCTCTCTCATCTGCGTCTTTGGTTGTTTGTGCTATGTGCATCATAAGGATCAGAAAGGGGATAAGTTTACCAGTCGTAGTCGTAAATGCGTCTTTGTTGGCTATCCATTTGGCACGAAAGGCTGGCAGGTTTATGATTTAGAGTCCGGGACCTTTCTTATTTCTCGTGATGTTGTTTTCTCTGAGTCCGAATTTCCTTACTTGTCCCCGTCTTCCTCTGATGGGCCTACTTCTGTACTTCCATCCTTGGCGACTGTTTTTGACGGTGATGATGATGTTTCCCCGATACTACCAGCTGTATCTCCTTCTGGTAGTGCTCCAGACTCCTCTTCTCCAGGGTCAGTTGTTAATCCTGTTAATGGTACCTCTGACGACAGCGGGGGGGAGGGGGAGAGGGTTCATCCTCTAATGGGCCACCGGAAGAACTACTGGGCTACGGTCATCGCACCAAGATTCGTTCCACCCGTCTTCGCGATTTTGCTGCCAACACTATCACTTCCGAACACCCCTCTCTTTGCTCATCTGTTTCGTCAGTTTTCTCAGGTACTTCCTATCCTTTACACAAATATGTGAGCTGTGACAATTTTTCTGTGCACCATCATGCTTTTCTGGCTACTCTAGGTGCAGGTGTGGAGCCTCGCACTTTCGCAGAGGCTATGCGTGATGCTTGTTGGTGTACAATTATGCAACAAGAGATTCAGGCTCTTGAGAGTAATGACACCTGGACTCTGGCCTCTCTTCCTTTCGGAAAACGTGCTATTGGTTGCAAATGAGTTTTTAAAATCAAATACCATCCTGATGGCTCAGTTGAGCGCTATAAAGCGCACCTGTTGATACTTGGTAATAACCAGATTGAAGGTCTAGATTATCATGAGACCTTTGCTCCTGTTGCGAAAATGGTGACTATTTGCACCTTTCTGGCTGTTGCTGCTGCTAAGGGTTGGGAGTTCCATCAGATGGATGTCCATAACGCATTTTTACAAGGGGATCTCACAGAGGAAGTTTATATGAAAGTTCCTCCTGTTTTTTCTACTTCTCAACCAGGCATGGTATGTCGCCTTCGTCGTTCTCTCTATGGCTTACGACAGGCTCCCTGTTGTTGGTTTGCTAAGTTAGCAGGTGCTCTCCGTTGGTATGGTTTTCAGCAGTCTACTTCAGACTATTCTTTGTTCACTGTGCAGATTAATGTTCTCATCTATGTTGATGATCTTATTCTTTCTGGTAAAGACACTGCTGCTCTTCAGTCTTTGAAGGAATACTTGCATCGGTATTTTCATATGAATAATCTTGGGGTTCTTAAGTATTTTCTTGGTCTTGAGGTAGCTCGCTCTTCCTCTGACATTTTTCTTTGTCAGCGCAAATATGCTTTGGATATTATTTCTGAGGTTGGATTACTGGGCGCTAAACTAGCTGACTTTTCTCTTGAGCAGAATCATCATCTTTCTTCCGCTGCTGAGGTTTCTCTTTCTGATCCTGCTCAGTACCGTCGCCTGGTTGGTCGTTTGATTTATGTGACAGTTACGCGCCTGAGTTGTCCTACTCTGTTCACATCTTATCTCAGTTTATGCATAAGCCTATGCAGGCTCATTGGGAGGCTGCTTTTCGTGTTGTTCGCTATTTGAAGGGCACTCTAGGTCAGGGTATTTTTCTTCCAGCTGACTATGATTTGCACCTTTCGGCCTGGTGTGATTCGGACTGGGCCAGTTGTCCTTTGACTCAGCACTCCCTCACAGGTTGGTTTATTTAGCTTGGTACTTCTCCTATCTCCTGGAAAACCAAGAAGCAGCAGACGGTTGCTCGTTCCTCTGTTGAAGCTGAGTATCGTTCTATGGCCTCTACTGTTTGCGAATTAAAATGGTTGAAGGCGCTTCTTCTGTCTCTTGGCGTTCATCATTCTCAGCCTATTCGTTTATATTGTGATAGCCAAGCCGTCTTGCATATAGAGACTAATCTGGTTTTTAATGGACGCACGAAACATATTGAGGTCGATTGTTACTTTGTCCGTAATGAGGTTCTCTCCGGTACTATTCTTCCCAGTTATGTCTCTACTCATGTACAACTTGCAGATATCTTCACCAAGGCATTGGGTAAACAGCAATTTGAGTTTTTCTTGTCCAAGTTGGGCATTTAGAATCTCCATGCTCCAACTTGAGGGGATATTAAGATTATTGATGTAATTATGTAATTACGGTGTATATGTACTCTTTTACGGCCATGTTCTCTATATAAACATATACTATGTAAACTTTAATACACATTGGTATTACGGCAAACGTTTATGCCGGTCAAGATTAATCTCCTTCTTCGCATTTTTACTTTTAATTCGTCAATCCTTCAACCATTTTCGAATAGTATGTTATGCAATTTTTCACCACGCGGTCATTGATCTGCGTTCGTGCAATATACTTTAGCTCTACTTAGTATTTAACATTCCAGTTTCTCTATTCATTTCCAAATAACGACAAAGCATTGTTCAACCTCTGAGGCACTAGTACTAGTCCATTTAACTTGAATTTATTCGAATCGAGGAGCAATGTACATTTAAAAAAAAGTGGTCGAAATGGAAAATGTTAAAAAGCATTAAAGTAGGTTTAGATTCATGTAATCTTTTTTGTTTGATAAAGGAGTAATTCAAATTTGTATTTTTAGTTTTAGTACAATTTAAACTAGAAATGAAAATTTAAACTGGACAATAATTTTGGAACAGGAAAGTATTATTTACTTTTTTCAATTGTCACAAAACCCTAATCTCAAAAGCAATGTATTAGTAAAATTTATGAATGATTATCAAATGACCATAGCACCGAGTGTATATAAAAGTTCAAATTAATCAAACCGTAATTAAACATATAACACATCGTGATCACATACGGTATCGTAAACTTGCGAGGAAAATAAATAAATAAGAGGATAGGTCAAGATATATATAGTACTTAAGTATACATTGAATAAAAAGCGTACTATGAAGCTTCTGCTAAAATAGGTCCAGATTCATGTAATCTACAATTTTTTTTTTATTTTTTTTTTTTGCAATATACCATGTACTAAATTTGGTCGATAAAAAGGATTATAAACCTTTGCAGATTTTATTTTAGATTTAAAGGTTAGCAATTTATCAGGGTGATTTGCCGGCTCCACCTTAATCAATACCAACAATTTTATTTACTACTTCCGTTTCAAAAAAATAATCGTTTTGAGATTTATACTAATTTTAATATAAGTTTAAAAACTCAATGTTCTGGGATGGAGGGGGAATTTATTTTTGTAAGGAAAGAGTAAGAATGACTCATTTAATTATGGATTCGCAATAGGTTTAACAAACCATTAAATGGATTGATTCTGTTTTAGGACAAATTAATTGGAGGTACACCGTACACGTGAGAAAAGAAGGGAGAAAAAAAAAAAGAAAAGAAAAAGTTTTTTTTTATCCCTTTCTATTTTTCACATCGAACGAACAATAACATTTTCCACAATTTATCAACAGCCGCCGCCTCATCAGCGCTTTTCCGTTAAATTCCAATTTACCACCAGTTTTCACGCGCAAATTTCTCTCTCACACACTCACACAGTGCGTTCTCTTCTCGCCCCATTTTTTCCTTTTTTTTTTTTCCTCACAAGTGCTTCATATATAACAAAGCACATTTCCTCTGTTTTGTCTTCGCTCATTTGCCGGCACTTCCGAAGCCCTAACCTCCAATCTCCATATCCATCTCCATCTATTCCTTAGTTTTCAAAATTCAACCGTTGGTGTTGGTGATTTGCTCCTTGTTCATATCGGTCTTCTCAATCGTTGTTCTGCTATCTCATGTGTAAGCTTTTTTTCTTTTTTAATTGTATTGTTTGGTGATAATTATTTTCTTTTGTTTGAAGGAGTTATGATTGTCTAATTGGATCTTTTTCTGCTGTTGGCTGTCTGTGAATTATGGTGGAATTTGGTTTTGTTGTGGTTTGGAACAAAAACTATTCATTTGGTTATTGGATTTGAATGAATTCTTGGTAACTGGTTTTTGTTTGGTAATTGATATTTTTCATGTTCTGTATGTTTGAGCTGGTTGTGTTTCTGAATTGATTGCGATTTTTAGGAAATTTTAAAGTAATTTACATTGGTGTTTCGTGTTCAAAGTTATTTATTTGCTTGTTTGGTTGTTAAAACATAGAAGAAGAAATCTAAAATCTTGGGCATCTGGTATTGTTATTGGGTTTGGTTTTGGTTTTGGGGACAAAGGAATAAGAAGAAAGCCTCACTTTTTGTATTGATTGATTTCTATTTTTGAATTGTAAGCTTGATTTCGTTTCTTGTCAACTGGTAGATCTAAATGAATAAAGTGAACTGCTTTTGATTTTACTGTGCAGCTGAATTAATCAGTTTTGGGTTTTACTTCGTCTGATTCTCCGATTTTCATTTTCTTTTTGGTTTTTCATTTATATCTACAGGTCCTCTATGTGCATGGCTTCCTACTCATAGATTTTGTTTCCCGCATTTTACTACAGGAATGAAGATTCTGTTCTGCATTTAGAAAATTTCATGCCTTTGTGAAACTAATGACGGAAAAGCAAGAAGTTGATGTTTTATGTCCTATTTATTTGTTTTTCATCTGATTTGAGAGACTCTAATGGAATTGTATCTGCTCCTTGTCCAATGTCTAATTGGTATTGTAACTGTGATATATAAAATTCCATGTCCATGCATAGCAGATTAATTGAGTAATTTGAAAGTGTCTTTTAATTGATAATTTGCAAATGGTTTCTGAAGCTAACCGGCCAGAAGGCAACACTTTCTTATTTTTGTGAGTGCATCTGATTTACATACCCTAATTGCTCATTTGTGATTGATTCAGTGTACGTTGGGCTGAAGAATTCAAGTGGGTCCATGGTCTGCTATGCTTGGTGCTAGTTAGTTGAATTTTTTTGATAAATATACAAGAAATGGACCGGCGTGATACTTCGGGGTTTGTAAGTGGGGGATGTCTCTACTCATTTAGAGACATCTAACTGTAGTTTTGTACATAATTTATTTAGCCCGGAAGTCAGGAGGCTGTTCTTTGTCGTTTAGCATTGCAATTTAGCTATCAACTATGGATGCCAGATTCCACAATTTTGGTTATGCTGCAAACCCTGGATTGAATGGTTTGAGGAATCTGAGCAATTCTTTTCAAATTGGAGGAGCTACTGGTGGTAGTGGTGCTTATGGTGCTGACACTACATTACGACTTGATTTTTCTGGATCGCCAATGCCTTTTGCGTCTGCCCCAAAAGGAATTAAAAGGAAGTGGAGTTTGATGCATGAACCAGTTCAACAACTTGAGTCCGCCTTGTCTCTCCGTCTAGGCCATTCTTCAAGTTCCTCAGACAGTAAAGGTAGTTCAACTACTGCATGCACATCAATTTCTTCAGCAAAAGAAATAGAGGAGTCGTCTTCAATGGATCTAGAGCTGGACTTCACTCTTCATCTTGGTAATGAGAGGAAATTTGGTAGTCCTTCTAAATCAGTGGATGTTTGGCCAAAGGTTGATCTGGAGTTGAGTCTTTCCAGTGGAGTGGCTGAATCTGATGTCACTACACTTCATCTCAGTTCTACCCCACCAAAAAATGTGGCGAGTTTCATGCCTGTTGCTGTTGGCCAGACCTTGAACTTTGAGGAAAGATCAAGCTCCATTATGGGTAGTGTGCTTCAACCATTGGAGGTAACAAACCGTAGACCGAATGACTCTTTGTTTAATGAAGTTGCAATGGAGATAAATCCAGCTGCAAGCACTCAGGAGTTTTCATCTAGCATGATAACAACACCAAAAAGCTCAGTCACCTGTACTTCCGGGATAACTCAACAGTCACAGCAGCAGCGTAGTACTAGTACCAAGCAGTGTCAAGTTAATGGATGCCTAAAAGGGGCTAGAGGTGCTTCTGGACTTTGCATAGCTCATGGGGGTGGTCGTAGGTGTCAGAGATCAGGCTGTCATAAAGGAGCTGAAGGTCGAACTGCATTTTGCAAAGCTCATGGTGGTGGTCGTCGGTGTGAATATCTAGGATGCACTAAGAGTGCAGAAGGAAGGACTGACCTCTGTATTGCCCATGGTGGTGGACGACGATGCAGTCACGATGGCTGCAGTCGAGCTGCTAGGGGAAAATCTGGATTGTGCATTCGTCATGGGGGTGGTAAAAGATGCCAGAAGGAAGATTGCAAAAAGAGTGCAGAAGGCCTGTCTGGTCTCTGTATCTCACATGGAGGTGGTCGTCGATGTCAGTACCCAGAATGCACCAAAGGGGCACAGGGGAGCACAATGTTTTGCAAGGCTCATGGTGGTGGTAAACGATGCACCTTTGAAGGATGCAATAAAGGTGCCGAAGGTAGTACTCCCTTCTGCAAGGGCCATGGTGGAGGAAAGAGGTGCTCCTTCCAAGGAGGTGGTATATGTCCAAAAAGTGTGCACGGAGGGACACTTTTCTGTGTGGCGCATGGGGGTGGCAAGAGGTGTGCTGTCGCAGAGTGTACTAAGAGTGCAAGGGGTCGGACCGATTATTGTGTTCGTCATGGTGGTGGCAAGAGATGTAAATCTGAAGGGTGTGGAAAGAGTGCACAAGGAAGCACCGACTTTTGCAAAGCCCACGGCGGTGGGAAGAGGTGTTCTTGGGGCCAGCCTGGTTCTGAACTTGGAATTGGTGAAAATCCTTGCAACTCGTTTGCTCGAGGTAAAACTGGACTGTGTGCATCCCATGGTGCTTTAATCCAGGATAAACGGGTTCACGGTGGTGCAACAGTAGGAGCATTGGTCCATGATTCAGAACCGCACAGACATGAGAATTTGAAACAGGACATGAATGTTGATATTATCATGAAATTGGATACAGCATCTTCAACTGGTTCTGGCTGGAAATATGGTGGTCCAATGCCAATTGGTATGCCTAGTATGCCTTCTAATTCAGCAAGTCCAACACCAGAAGGGAGGGTTCATGGGGGCAGCTTGATGGCTATGCTTACTGGCAATGCTAGTCTTAACTTCAGCAGCAACAATAGTTGTGTAACCGGTCCATCTGAGCCTGGAAGTTCTTGGATTCTTCAGAGCCGGAAGTAAAGATGGTTCACCTACTTTCATCTTTCTATGAATTTCATGGTCAGACATGTTTGTCTTTTCTGTTTGCATATCCTTCCCCAGATTTCATATCTAGGTTGTGAAACATTTTTTTTTTTTCTTTTTTTGTTTCAATTGGTGAAATATATGTGTGTGGTAATAAGGGGAAGAAGTGATCTGTCTGGCGATTAGACTTTCATTTGTAGTGTGGTTTCCAGTGTGTTTTTCATTGTAAATATTTGAATTTGGCCTCCTGTTCCATTATATAAAGTCTGGTGTTTAAAATAACTTAGCAATTCCATATTCTACTTTGATTGGAGTTGCCTTCTCTGTTGCTTTGTGAGTGCGCTGTGCGAAATACTTCGAAGTTGGCATCTGTTGTGAAGCCATTATTCTCTCTTTTGGGGTGTTTACTTGCAAAACCCCACAGACCATGTAAGTAAATATGTTGTACAGCATGGGGTATTGAGATGGATTAGTTTAATATGAAATAACTACAGGGGTATTGAGATGGAGTACAGCATGGTACATTTGAAAATAAAAAAAAATTGATAGTCGCAACAAACTATATAGGCTCTGGAAAAGGTGCTCTGTAACAAAATGATAAAACCTATGAATGATGCTTTATGTAATTAACTACTTTTATGCATAACTTGTCGTGCGAATGAAATTGTCATCCTGCAGGCTCCCCTTAACTATGTATGATTCGTAAGATGTAGCAGAGGAGCGGATAAAGGCTGGAGTTTTAGTTCACCTGTGCGGCAATTGTAACTCTGAGGTATTGAACAGTTCCAATTCCGATCTTCTATCCTGATTTAAATGCAACAGGATTCTTTTTTATGTGAACAAACTCCGTCAAGTTTCACTTTGTGCTTGTTACCACTGACTCGGAATATTGAAAAGGATAGGGGATCAATCCTATCAAATTCATCGAGATGCAATTCTAATTTCGTCTTGCTGTTAGTAGCTATTCCCCCATTCAACTTTACATACAGACCTCCAGTTTTATACTCCAGACTAAAAGGTTAATATTCTAATTCTTCGATGGGCATAAATTCCACTCTCCTCATAATTCCTGGATCTTGAAATTGGCCAGTTTAGATAGGTCATGTACTGCTTCAACTAGATGATCAAGTCTGGCAACAAACTCAATAAGCAACGAGGTGAAAGTAGCGAGTGACAATTGAATAGTACTATCCCATGCACGCATTTTCGGAATGAAATCAGGACCGTAACCTCCTTCCCCTTCAAAAGCATCAACTTCTCGCGACGGCCATGAATACAGCCTTCTGAATTGTATCCTCACTGTCTCGTGGTAGGATTCTGTTTGCAGTGGTGGGTAGTCTCTCAAGGGCTGGGAAGGCGGATTAGAATCGTCTTCATCAGGAAGTTTAAGACCAAACTCTTCTGCTACATCATCCGATAACTTTAGGGAGACATTTGTCGATGGTGGCTTGTAAGTCAGGTTGTCAGGTGATGGTTGATCATAGCTTGATGTCAGCAGATACGAATGCATATCCATAGCGCGTTGGAGCCTCTCAGTTTTCAGATGGACCTTCTTCAGCAGATTAGTTTTGAGGCTTCTTTGCATATCACGAATATCACCCCCTAAAGACCGAACTAACTCAGCCGCCTCGGTGGTGGCTTCTAGGATCTCCCTCTGGAATGTGATTCTGAGATTATAAGGAGCCTGCACAACACAAAGAGTCACACAATACAGTTTGAGTGAATTTCTAGTGAGTGGAGCATAATGTTGTACTTAGTGGAAGGCTTCCTGATATGGATCTTGTATCATTTTCCAGTGGAAGGGAATATATTCAGGAATATATATATATACATGAAAGGGAAATGGAGTTGATCAAACTATGGTTTTGAATGCTTTACCGCATCTTAACCGTGTATTTTTAAGCTAGATTCTACCACTAGGAACAAACAAATGGTATCAGAATAATGTCCTACATTCCTGAGCTTCTTTATCTTGCCACGAATAATGTCCTACATTCCTGAGTTACTAACAGGATTAGGTTAGAGAAATGAAACTAGGACCTGAATTTCGGAGTGAAGAACACCATGTAACGCCATAACCTCGTAGGCACAATATCTCAAAACTGCACCAACTTTCACATACTCAGACCATGGGTAGAGGAATTGGCAGAACCTGCCATGTGGTGGCTCCCATTTAGCTGAATTAGCCTTTGGTAAGAAACAAAGAACCATCATTAATTTTAACCTTTTTGGAGATATATTCAAAATTTTAAGGATTTATGTTAAACAGGTTCAATACCAGGGTTTCCAATTTAGATGAAGAGTTCAAAGTGGATCTGCATTTCTTATAAGCAGGCTCATCTGGGAACTCATCCATCACTGCATTTGAAAACTCTGGATGATTTGATCCATCATCTGCCAAATACTTCTTCACACATTCTGCAATGTTGAAAACTCTCATCAAACTTCAACCCTTTGTAATTTCATCTTAGTTCTTCAAACTAAGTTACCTTCAAGGGAATCAGCCACTACATTGAAGTTGGTCACAAGTTCTTGATGCAATTGCTCACCAGCCCACATGGGGAAAACCAGAACATTCACCAAGACTGCTACAATCCCTCCAATGGCGATCGAGTAAAGCCGATCCATTGCAGTTCTTATCGGGTTCCCCATTCGGTAGCCAGATACTATTATCAGACAGTAGGTGAACAGTATTACCCGAAACCCATACTCATACGGCGTAAGGGAAGGCCATAACTTCATGAAAGATGTAATAGTCCCTGCATAAAAGTGTTACATATTGTGACAAAATCACTGAACTTGAAATCAAAATGTGGTTATTCGGGGAAGATTATCACATACCAAGCAAGAAGATGCTGATACCGATGATTATCGGTTCAGCAACACGGCCGCAACTAAAGGCTATTTGAGCAACAACAATGGCTAAAATTCCAGCTAACAGGCTTCCAAGTGCCCTGTTGAATCCTCTATTAAATGTTGCACCTGTGGATAGTTTTTAGATCAGTTAATTACAACTAATTAGTTGTACTCAGTGCTGATTATTACATGAACTTTCATATTTCTTCTTGAACATTAAGGAATGCTTACCAACAGTGTATTCAAACATGATCGCAACAGTGAGGATTGACCAAATTATGTTGGCTCCAAAAACATGGTAAGGTGCACGGAACAATATGAGCAAAGAAACCAGAAGAACAGCAAGGCCAACTTTGAAAGAAAATATTACTCTATTCATATCCTCTTTGCAAAATCTCCAAATCTCCACGATCCAACATCTGCACGAAAAGCTCGAATTCTCGGCATCAGGACAAATAACCTTGGCAATGGTTGGGATATGAATCTCCACACTACCCTTTTTCCCATTCATTCTCCTCAACAGAATGAACAAAATTCCTTCTCCAAAACTTCCTCAAAAATACTGCGGCACTTCCTTTATTTGAGAATGATACAGGAAAAATGATGAAAAGATCACCAGCCTTCAAAAAAAACCCGAAGTAAACCTTCAAATGACAATGAAGAATTAGAGATGGAATGACAGTAAAAAACAAGGAGGATACAGCAACAATGACTGAATGGTGGAAGCAAGTATAGGATCATAGAAAATATGTCTGAATATGGAGTATATAGAGTGTGAAGGAAGGAATATATTCATATACTAATACAGCAATAATACAAAGGGAATTGATGATATGTCTATAAACCTGGATAAAAGATGCTTAATCTCCTCAATAATGTTGCAGGAACAGAGAGAATTAGAATCCAGGGAACAAGAATAGAGATGAAAAATATCTTTAAGCAATTAAACTATGGCCATGCATTCATTGATTTTATGCACTTCACAATCCCACCTCAAAAATACTATCAGAACTTGATCAGAGGATCGAGCAGTGATATAACACTCTTTATGGGGTCATCTTAGGTCAAAACTCAGACGTCATGTTAATGCTCTATTAAAGATGGATCATTTGTTGAGGGAAACAGGAAAGGGTACTGAAATTTGAAGCTATAGAAATGGTATTTCTACTGTACTAGATTTTGATTCTGGATTTGGGAGAAGAAACCAGAAAGTATATATATGTGTAGAGAACAATGATCAGGCGTTTGGAATATAAATATGCTCCAAATGTAAGAGTGACAATTGATTTGTGACACATCCGCAATGTTTTAATATCACACATCCGCAAGTTGTTTTAAGGTTGATTTCAGCGTACTAGTGCTATGCTGGTTGGGGGGGGGGAATATGTCTTATTACTAGGACTAACACTCATTCATTCCTTATTCTGTTCAACACCGAACTAACATAAATAATATGATCTCAGCGTATATGAAACTGTGTTACTTCTTCCGTCTCAAATAATCTGTTTCATTGAACTAAAACAGTATAACAAAATAAAATATTTAAGTGAAACAGGTAAAAATGATAGAAATGTTATTACAATTATCCGCTAAACCTGAGGATTGTTCGACATTTGACGTCTACAATCCTAGATACATGTTTATGATCATAAGGTAAATGTGGTCACCGATAAATTAACCACCGATAGCCTTCACCACGTCTCGAATGCGCCTTACAAACTTATATTTAAATTAATTATTATTTTTCAGTACGTTTATTCATTTTGCATAAAAAAATTAATAATTCACATTGGATGGAGGGAGTAGCATATTATAGCCTATTTTACTACAAGTAATAATAATTAAATGGGTATGTACTGGCAACAAGAAATATTCCACTAATTCTGCCTCTCTCAATTTCTCACTTATTTCTTCTTCTCTTCTTCGATGCTTCATCTTACTTCTCCTCCTAATCAATCTGCATCATATACCGTGGAAAATTCTCCAAATATACTATGTATTTTAATAGAATTAAAAAGCCATACTCAATTTCTTCCCGGAACTAAAGCAGTGAAAAAAAGAAGAAAAAGAAAACGATCGAGGAGAACCAATCTGTGCAAGTCCACAGAAATTCTCCCTTTTTTTTTTAGCCTCCCATGAAGTACAACTTGTTTGTAGTGTTTAAATCCTGAAATTAAAAGCCATGAGAATTGATAATCAAACCAGAACAAATGTAAACAAAAGCTCTTGATCATGAAGTAAACGATCGAGGAGAAGGATTATATAACTCTATGTCCCAATATTATTAATCTGTTTAAATTTTTACTTTTAATATTATTTGTATTAAACAGAAAAATTCAAACTGGATAATCTTTTCGAGACGGGAAGACTATGTATTTTGATTTATTTTTATTTTTATTTTTATGTCAAAAGCTTCGCATATGCTATGTCTACCAACATCCACTGGGAAAAGTAGTCGTATTTAGCCCCTTTTTCTCCACTGCCTAATATTCATATAATTCTACATGAACATTGCGACAAAGAGTTCAACTAAAATCATCAGGAATTTAAAAATGAAGCACACAAATAAAAAGGAAAACCCATAATGACTTGTCCATAAAGTAGCCATCGGTTTAGTTTGCAAGCTTTTGATTTGAACAAAACGCTGAAGCACACAGAAGGAGCGTGTATTTAATTTGAGCATTTGTTCTGTCAACTAGCTATGTCATTTTGTTTTTTTCCTTCCAGTAATTAACACAAGATATGTAATTAGAAATGGGTAAACTATATGTCATATCACTATTACAATTGTAGTTTCATGAAATTCTTGAAAATTCTGATGAGAAATTATATGTTACTACAATTGTGTCTTCTTCTTCTTTTTCTCTTAAATGTTGATGATCCAAACAAGTGCGATATACCGTTATAGCAATACTCTTGCTATTTCATTTTGTCTTCCTTTCTTTTGAACTAGATATAAAATATCTTTTCATATTAAAATAAAAATGTAATTTGTTATTATTTTTCTTCTATAAATCAGGGTTTTTAGCATCATTATATACACATATATATTTTTATATATTGAAAAAGTCTTTTAAATATATTATTTTCGAAATAGCCATATGTCAATTTTTACCTGGCATTCTATATCTTTCAGATTTATTCTTCATCTCATTATCGTCAATTTTTCAATTTATTTTTTTTAAAGAGAAAAACAGAAGCAATTTTTTCTTTTATTATTATTTTTTTTTTTGCAACTTTGAGGAAAAGAAAAATTTTTGAAATCATTAATATACTCCCTCCGTCCCATATTGTCCAATTTTGTTAAGATACAAGAATTTATTTTTGGTAAAAGGCAACCAAGTTTTGACAGAATCTTCCAAGTATGCCCCTACATATATAATTAATCGGCCAACAGTTTGGAACTTGAGTTGTTTGCGAAAAGTTTGCTGAATCTTAACAAGAACTGGAGTACGTCACGGTTGCGGCGGAAAGGACGACGGGATCCATTAGTGTTGGTGAGTGCATACGAATTCGACACCGGAGTTAGATCTGGAGGGTGGGGGCGACGGTTCTTCACTTCTTTTTCACTACTCCAAATTCAAAAACCGATTTCAGATGCAAGAACAATGGATTCACTTGTTCGTCAGTATAGGCACCCAACCATAATTGAACAAATTCAGACGAAGAATTCTAAATTTGGAGAATCTTCCCACCCTTAAGTTTCAATTTGATATCTATGAAAACATTTCTTCCATTTCAACGGAAAGTTTCTTCATCCAACCGAATTCTTCAACCCACAAATTGTACCAATCGAGTAAAATTTTCGGATTACCTTGAGTTTCAATCTGATGCTCCTCAGATCCAGATGATTATTCTATTTTTGTCGTTTGAATTCATCGGTTGCAATTTTGACTCGGATTAATTTTGAATTTTCTTCTCCAGACCCCTTTTCGACAACCACCTGGACACCTCATCCACGCCGTCGGTTGGAGCCGCCGGAAAATAGCCTTCGTTTCGGTTGGAGCCGTCGGGAAGTGGCCTTCGTTTGCTGCTATCGTGAGTTCGTTTCTGTGCAAATAATAGAGAAGAGGGTGCAGTGAATTGTTTTCTTTCTTTTTAATTTGTTTTTTTTTTTATGGTTAAAGGATAAATGTGTAATTTAATCCATAAAAAGTCAATTTAGACAATAATTTTAGAATAAAATTTTTTAAGCAAACTGGACAATAGTTCTAGGACGGAGGGAGTATTACTTTTTCTGTTTCAAAATAATGTAATATAAATCTCAAAACTCAACGTGGACCATTTTTTCTGGAACAAAAGAATATTTTCTTGTATTTCGGACACAATAAATTCAAAACCTTAATAAAATTGAGGTTTCGAAAACTAGTATTAACAGTTTTTGTGTCCACAATTCAAATTCTGCCTATTATGTGTCCACAATTTAAATTTCATGCTCCCTTAAAGAAATTTCCCATCATTATCGAAGGATTGTAGTTCGTTCCGTCGGCTCAATGCAAAACATGACTGTTTGCGAGAAATGTCCCGTGAGAGCCACGAGTCAAATAATTTTGTGAGTGAAAGGAGAGTCGGTGGGAAGGAGGGAGAAGGAGAAATTAATGAATGTTATGAAATATTTAATTTGATTTGATAGAATGTCCACAATTAATACGTATTATTCCATTCACAATAAAAGAGATATGATTCTGTAATATTTAATATTAATGATATGTGATTCATTTCCCACAGTTTGATCCCCTATTTCTTGTATAAATAGGGAGGTCATTCATGCTTCAAAATATATCTGAATACAAGTCTCTTATCTCTCTCTACTCTCTTGTCTCTCCTCTTTGTTCTTGTGCTTCGTTTCATATTAGTAATCTAGCATTAATTTTATAACATGTTATTAGCACGAGACTCTAGCCAAAAAGCTTCTACCACCGCCTGAAGTTGGTGTGTATTGATTCTGAAAGCCTGAAACCTCAACGAATATTTTAATTCTACCACCGCCTGAAGTTGGTGCGTATTGATTCTAAAGGCATGAAGTCTCAGTGAATATTTTAAAAGGTTTTTGTAACATAAAACGCCTGAAGCTTCGTGACCTCGAGTTAATTCAAGATCTCGATTTAGGCTTGTCAATTCAAAATTGAGAAAGCGAATTCGGTAATTTGAAATCATATCATTTCATTTTGTATCGAGATGTCTAAGTGACGTGTGATTTTATTAGTCAACGAGTTCTTGGACAAAAACCCATCCACGGTTTGCATTATTTTGCTTTTGTTTTGATTTCTAATTCCACAAATTAAATTACCTATTTTGTTATGATCTAATCTCGTTAATATCAATGCCTTATTCGATGATTATGTTATGATGCATATTATTTATATTATCCTCTGGGAAAAGTAAAAGAAAAATAGGAGAAATTAGTAATGGAGTTTTTGTTTCCCTGTTTTGGTTCAATTTAAACCTTTTAAAGTAATTATAATATATTGGTTCAATACATGTTTACATATAGTTGGTGTTATTAAGGTTTTCTAGCATAATTATATTTGTAGGTTTTCTTTTTCCTATAAAAGAAAATTATTTGAAAAGTAAATTGTCACTGTGCTGTAGTGATTTGCTATGTATGTTGACAAGAATAAATGTTTCAATTTTTTTTTGTATATACTATTATTGTTTCGTGAAAATGTCAACCTTACTTTAAGATTTTTCACTTCCTGAAGCAAGTGAACCAATACCTATACAGATATATTTTTCACCCGAAGTGAAAGATTAATGATAACAAAAATAAAGTTGCTCCTGAAATAACAATGTTGCGATAATATATTTACCATAATAAATTGCTCCAGTAGTAGCATTATAGTGAAATATTTGGTGAAATCTTATGAATCGATTTCTTTCCATTCCCTGAAGTGAGAGAGCAGTAACTTATTTTGCGACAAATTGTAGACATTAAATCTACAACAATAATACTGCAATTATATACTAAATACAACTCTTCACCTAAAAAGAGAGATTGAATGATGATCAATTCGAGGTCGTATACCAACCAAAAATTGGGAGGTAATGATGAAAAGAAAATGAAGGCGTTTGAAAAAAAAAGCCTTCGATATGGTATAACGAACAATTGGTCGTGTATATGTCATACGCCAAAATATTTAACAGATCTCTATTAGCAATCGATGAAGAAAGAAGAAATGAAAATAGAGACAAATATAATTTATAATGATGTTGATGATGTTGACCATGGTCTCGTTAACAACGGCTTTACTATTTTAGACATTGCTAATTTTTTTGTCAAACATCCTGACGG